GGCGGCCACGATTACGGGCCGACGGGCAGGCGCCTCAGGTACCGATATCTCACGGCCTGAATCGCAGGCCGATCTGGGCCGTCGCCGGTAACGGTACCGGCCTGCGATTCAGGCCGTACGATAAGAAATAGCGATTCTTATAGTAGTGTAGATTCTACGGTGTCACATGGTACTACTCTTTCTATTACGAATATATATGCATCCCCGGTGAAAAGGGGGGTTCTATGGTGATTGTTTAACACACAAACACCCACCCACCCACCCACCCACATGCATGCCCACCCACCCATCCACACACACACACACACAGTCGACCACTTTTCTCTCTCAGGGGTATCACTACTTCTGGGCGACGATTCTGGGCGACATGGTGAGTTGTAATCCATCAGTCAAATGCATCCTGGGCAGACTGTCGGGGTTCAACCTCCTGATGAGTCGGTGAAAGTCCGACAAAACGGTCTGGCACAGTTATGATTTTTCTGTGGACTTGTGTATAGCGAAGATGACCACACACACACACACACACACACACACACACACACACACATTATTCCCCGTTAATTTTAAATTCCACATCTGCTAATTGCAAGTCTGAGGGAAGAAACTCCACATCTAATTTTAAATTCCACATCTGCTCCGATACCAAATTGCAAGGAATATGAGTGAGAACGATATACAAGAAACCAAGTTGCGAAATCACGCAGATGCCCAAGTAGTCATGTACCAAGCAGAGAGCATAAATGCGCCAAGATTCCGTCCACATAAGAGCGTTACAATGAACTCATGAGCCAATGTTCAAGCCCTCAGGCCACACCAACGCAGTGTCCAATGCCACTCCTACTGTTACGGACTCCGCCAGGGCTCGATCCCTGGTCTATCTTTTTGCTGTTTCGGCTGCATCCCGTTTCGGCCTGGCACCATTTTTCCAAACCCCTCCTTTGGTACCGTAGGATTTTGGACAACTGGTGCCATGCTGCAATTCGGGCGCCACTTTCAAATACCGCATTTTTCAGTTCTGCCCTCGGGGCCTTTGCAGAAATGCCCCTGGTACCGTACGTGTCACCGGTACTTATACCGGCTCCCCGTACGGTACGGGGACCAGTCTCGTACCAGTTTCCAGCTGCTGTACTCGTACCCAGTGTGACTTGCTCCTGTTTCGGCATTTGGAATCCAAGACTTCGACTTTGTGTCCTTGTCACTGTGTCTGCGTCCGACCCTCAGTCGTGTCGAATGAGTGAGTGTGTTTGTGTGTGCTCTCCCTCTCTCCCTCTCTGTTACATGCTGCGCGTGCACATGCGGGCCATTTTGCAGGCCCTGCGTCCTTCAGGCCAAAAGCCTGAATTTCAGGCCGAAAGCCTGAAATCCAGGGCTTACAGGCCCCATGTCGGATCAGGCCGAAAGCCTGAATTCCAGGGCCACAGCCCTATGTCGTTTCAGACTAAAAACGGCAACAGCCTTTTTAGCCTGAAACGAAGGGCCATTTTCGGTCGTTCATCAGAACGACCGGCCCTGAAACTCAGGCACCGAAC